AGGGCTTGCCGTTCCAACCCCGGCCCTCACCACTGACTGCAGGTTCTGCGCTTTATTCTTGGACCGCCCAGAGCACTGTGGGTGAGCCATACACCCACCCTCTGCTTGGGAAGCCTTCGCTGAGCCCACACCCCAGTCTGAGCCTTACCCCTTCCTCTTCAACCCCCACTCCCATGGGTCTCCCCAATCCCTGCACAGCCCACACTGTCCTTTATTGTTTGCATGCCTTTCTTCCCCACCCCGCTCAGGCACCGTGTGATGTCCTCAAGGGTGGGGACCGCATGGCTCAGCTTCTGGCACAAAGCCGGGTACAGAGGAGGTGTCATCTCTCTGCTGGCTGGGCTAAACAGGCCCCAACTCTGCCCTGGGCTGACCCATGGGACATGAGGCCGGAAACACCACTCTGCCAGTCTCCCACCCTGACACTTCTCTGGAGAGGAAAAGCCCAGTGGTTCCACCCAGTGGCCTGTCCCTCCGTTGGTCCACTCGGGCAGCCCTGCCGTCACACTTCCACAAGAAAACAAACGCCGCTGGCTCTTGATATCCGGCCTGCCGATCCCGGCAGCTAGATTAGCATTTGAAAGTTTCCCTTGCATTAATTTCAGACGGAACATAAATACGGACTTGGGAGCCTTCTTCCAGCCAGAGAGAAGTGGGAGCCGGTCTGCTGGCCGTGCCTAGCGCCACGCAGCTTGGGAGTCTTGGTGGGAACATCTGGTTCTCTCTCTTCCTCCCCCACCCACCCCTCCAACACTGTCTTCAAATTACACTGTTAATTGGTGCATTGTTCTAGCCGCACACTCACACACAATCTCCTCTCCAATCTGGCCAGCCTTGGAAGATCCCCGCATCCCCAATGACGATTTCCTGCCCCCAAGCATGCCCTCGGGCTCTCTGGCACCCACAGATTCTTCAGAGTGGGTGTACCGGCACGGGCAGTGACCCAGGACTGCTCTGGGTGAAGGCCCAGGCTCTGCCTTGCACCCACCATGGGACCTTGGGCAAGCCCCCGTACCGCTCTGAACCCGTTTCCTCAGCTGTGAACCAGGGATTCCCCCAGAGGGAGGCTGAACTGAGCCCCCGTGGGAGCGACAAGCCCCTTGCACTCAGGACACTCCGCTCGAGTGCGTGTTCACTGCCTCCCCTGGTGGACTCAGGAGACCACCTGACCCAGCCCCACAGAGGAGAGCTGGCCCCAGAGAGCGCCAGGCGGGTCTCAGCCTCCGCCAGTTGGCTACTGAGGGCCGGACGCCAAGATTCCTGCCCTGGCCCCAGGGCAGGAGGCTCTGTTCTCTCCCCTCTTGCCTTGTGATGGCCAAGGGTAAGCTGGGGCTCTCGGTCTGTGTCCAGGACATGTGGAACAACCAGAGGCGGGCTGTGCTCAGCTCGCCCGGCCGTGGGCCCTGGCACAGGGCAGCTTGCATCTGGAAGAAGAGCCATTTCCTGTACCTTGAAGCCTTCATAGGGACTTCACCTACCCAGAGCAGGGTGCCTGCTGTTCCTGGCACACCAGAAGCCTCTAAAGGGCACCCTGATATAAGAGTATGGGGAGACAACCCGAGCGACCCCACCACGTCACGGATCCATCACCCATGTGAACAGTCCCCTCCGTGATCTGTGATTGCCTTCTCTACCCCTCTGTCTGAATCCCACCCACCCCGGAGCCCCTCCCTCCGGTAAGTCCTCCAAGATGCCCCTCTCCTCCACATGGCTTCCTGCTTTCAATTCTCCTCGTTCCTGTCTCCCCTCCTTCCCTCCTGCTCTCTCTCGCTCTCTCTCGCTCTCTTCCCTGTCCTGGTCCCTTTCTTCTCCCAGTCTTGTTTCTCTCTCTGGCTCTCTTTTTCCCTTCCTCTCTCTATCCCAGTGTCTCGCCTTCCCCTTCTCTCCCTGCCACTGTCTCTGGAGCTCATGTATCTCTGATTGCCTGTCTCTGGGCACCCCCTCTCTCTTTGACCCCTGAATGGCTCTTGCTTTCCTTGTCTCTCCCTGTCAGTGTCTTGGCTCATCTCTCTGCCTCTCGCCAGGTGGCTCCTCTCTTCCCATCTCTGTCTGTCTCTGTGTACCCACCCCCACCGCTGTTCTCCCTCCCTGGCCTCCTGTCCGCATCCAGATGAAATGGAACGTGCCTTCCAGCCGAGAGCTGGCCAGAGCACAGCTGTCGTGCTGGAAGGAAGTGCTGAGCGGTGGCCAGGAGACCCAGGGAGCCTGGGCAAGCGGAGCGGGCTGAGCCCCAGCACCGGGGGGGGGGGGGGGCCTTTGAAAATCTCCCAGGAACCTTCCCCGCAGGTTCCAGGATGGGCGTGGAGCCTTGTTCAGGATTTCTAGCCTTGGAGACGAGCCCAAGTCCTCTGTGCCAGCCGCTGGGGACAGCATATGCTGCACCCTGACTCAGGGCATGTCCAGGGGACAAGCTGCTGGGACCTGGGAAATCTGGAGGAGCTTCCCCAAGGGACAGGGCTGGGCCTGCTGCAGAGGGATCCACCCATGAGTGTGTGTCTCCTGGGGACAAGATGAGCTCATGCCATGCATGGGGAGTAGCGGGTTTTGTCACTCATTCATTCAACTATTTCCCACTAAGCCACCGCCAGGTGCCAGACTTTCCCTAGCCCTGCCAACAACGATGAAGCGAGCATGCCCCCCACTACTCTGCAAGGCTTCCCCCCGGTGGTCATCTTCTGCTGGTATGGGAGGTCCCTCGGGCTGCAGTGAGGGGGGCGAGCTCACAGAGCAAGGAGGCTGGGTTCTGCAGAGACTCGGGCAGTGAGGGTGACCTCCACCAGTTGCCCTGGATGCATGGAACTGTGCCCTGGGGACCCTAGCCTGCTTCTGGGAAAGCCCATCTCCAGACCGTTCCTCCAAGGTGCACCTCAGGGGAGATTCCTACCTGTGACCTTTAGGTTAGTAGTGTGTGTGTGCATTAATGATCTGAACCCCCCCCCCGACTTGGGGTAACAGTGGCTCATTAACCACTGTATCACCAGGGTGCCTTTATCTGTCTGGGCAGACCTTTGCAAGGGTCTTTCTCGGTGCCTTCCAGTTTTTTCCCCCATGCCTTTCAAGTAGATCGCATGCCCTGTGGGGCTCAGGAGGTGCAGTAAAGGTCTGGCCCCTGAGGGAACGGCTGGAGGTGGTGGACAGGTGGTTGCTCTCAGGGCCCAGCAAACATTGAGGAGTCCCTGGAGGTGGCCTCCACTGCTTGGGGGGACACGTAGGGTAGTCCTCCCTACCCCACCCCCACCGCCCTCCCCCTTCCCCCTGTCCCCCTCAGCTGTTGAAACCACCAGGCCGGCGCAGGGACTGCTGTTGGGGTGGGTGTCCATGGAGGCACCAAGGGAATGCCCTTTGCTGCCAGCAGTGGGTCCCAAGAGCTGCTGGCAGGGGGGTCCTGCAGCTGGGGGGCCCCAAAGCTGTCCTGTGAGTCCTCCTTTTAACTCCCCGACTGCGTTCTGGGGCCCGTAAGAATTCAGCGCCCTCATGCCCTGGTCTGGCTCTTCTGGAGGGGAGACTGTCTGCAGCCCCACTCTCCAGGTTTCCCCAAAGGATGCTCACTTGTACAGGCTTTCCCCCTCCACCCCTGCCATCGCCTCGATTCCAGCTCAGCGCAAACTCAAAAAGGGTGGCTGACACTGTACATCTTGACGGAAGGAGGCTGCTTTCCCCTGTGGAGCAGCTAGTGGGTTTGAACTGCCTAACATCGGGTGGATGGCAGCCGAATGCCTAACTCATCGCCCCAGCAGGGCTTCTTGTGCATCTAATCCGTGTTTGTTACATAATGCAGTGGATGGCAAGAGGGGGTGGGGGAGAGCAGGTGACCACTGATTTCTGGAAGGGCCACTGGTGTCCAACAACAGCCTCCCACAGAGAATCCAGAGCAGAGGGTCTCCATGTGACCTGGGCATGCCCAGATCCCAGGGTGTGGTGTGGTGGGTACTGGGCTGGAGCCTGTGTTGCTCGTAGTCCTTGGGCCCCAGGGTGAGGGCTGCGGCAGGCCAGTGAGAGAGGCCCTGGGACCTGGCAGAGCAAACTCCACAGTGACCGAGGCTGGAGAGACCTCCCTCTGTCCAACCGCAGTGCTGTCCCAGCCTCGCCACCTCTTTGTGTCAGGAGCCTCCCCATCCCAGACAGCCTGTCCACTTGCTGTTCTCCTCAGACTTCCCTGGGGCTGTCAGCATGCTGACCTTCCGGCTTCCCACCTGTCACCACCCATCAGAGGCGATTAGAGTCCAGGTGCAGGCCTCCCTGACTCCCCAGGCTTTAGAATGAACGGGGAGCCAGGGAAGAGCCCCGCCCCTGATGGGGCTGCAGGGCAGAGATGGGTGGACTGGGAGGGCCCAGAGGGCCAGTGGTGACCATTCGGCCACCCCAACTCTGGCCCTCATTGAACAGGAGACTGAAGTCCAGGAGGAAGAGGGGCTTGTCCGGGCACTGCATGCCCATCGACCCCAGGACTCTTACAAACCAGGGGAATATCGCCTGCATTCTCAGCCCTCAGGCCTCTGCTGATGCTCCGATCCCTCAATACGCAGCACAGGCGGGCCACCGAACCTGTGTACCACAGGGGTTTGTGGCCTGCTCTCACCCCCATGGGCAGGCCCCCTCTGGAGGGTTCATATTTGAACCTCCTTCATGCCTCAGTCGCTGTTTGCCTCAGTGCTCACTGGGCTTTGCCATCTCCCCACCCCCCACCCCCCACCCCCTCCGGGCTTTGAAACCAGGGCCTGGGCACCCTAAGTGTTGAGTGTGAACAAGGGACTCCAGGAAAATTCGGATACAGCCTACGTGTCTTAAGCATGCGCAGGGCAGCGGGCTGGGGACCCTGCCTGAAAGAGGCTGGGGAGGGGATAGATCGCCCAATGAGCAGCAGAGCTGGGACCGTGGCACAGCGAGTTCCGAGGACCCTGTCTTTGGCTCTGACACAAACCCAGAGATGACCCAAGGCCGTGCCCCTGTTGCTGGTGGTCTGGTACGTGGCTGAGCCCATGCCGCCTCTTGTGTTCCAGGTCATTTTCTGGGGAACAACACTGTCATCGACGTCCTGCGGCAGGCAGGGCTGGAAGTGGAGCACATACCCGCAGGGCAGCCCATCCACAGGTAAGCAGCCGGGCGGCTGGCACATAGTCATGCCTGCCCACAAGGGGCATGGCCAGCCCAGTGAGGTGAGGTGGGCCTTGGAGGGATTGGGAAAGCCTTCTGTTTTCTCAGCCCAACGTGGAGGGTGCTGGGCTGTAGGGGACTGGGCAGGACGCTGTGTGTAATCATAACAGACAGGACTGGAGACTCAGCCAGGGTAGTGGCAGTGGTTATGGGTGGGCATTGGGATTTAGAGATAGTGAGACATTCTAGGATGGCAGTGGGAAGACTCTCCAGGACTTTATAGGACTCCAGGTGAGGGGGGGGACCCTTTCGACGCTGAGGCAGGGATTCGAGATGGTCCTGTAGGACAAAGCACACATGGCCTAACCTCTTCCCTTTGTCCCACCCACTCCTGTGACTTTCCCACTTAACCCTGGGTCCCAACTCACATTGACTCTTCCCTCTCCACTGAGGTCTCTTGGTCATGTCCCCTCTTCCGCCTGCCCTGTGACTGGATTATGGAATGCACCACGCCGCTCAAATAGAGCCAGACAGTGACCACTCTCTTCCTGTGGGGTGCCCTGTCTCCTCCACCAGCCTGGAAGGAACTGAGGCCAGGAGCTAGCTCCAGCCGATCTGTGGATCCATATCGCCAGCACTGGGCTGGTGTGGTGAGATGGGGTGCTAGCAGGTCAGCCACGGAGGTGCATAGCAGGATCCTCCTTCAGGAGGGGTCTGTGTGGCCCCTGCTCCTGCCTTTCTGCAGCGACATTCTTACCCACCCGGAGGGACTGCCCCGCTGTGGTTTCCAGCCCTGCTCCTGATGTTCGACCCAGAATCCCAAGGATGTGTGAAGGATCACAGTAGATGTGTATTGCTCACACTGCTCATTCTCCACGGGGCTCTGAGCACTTTTAGCTCATTTAATCCTCACAGCCTCCCTGCGAATGAAATAGGAATCACAATTTGCAGAGAGCCGGGCTCCAAGCTCAGGCGGCCTGCCTCTCGCTCCCTGTCATCAAATCCATTCTGACCCAGAGACGGCCCTATGGAACAGGGTAGAACCGCCCCTTGTGCGTTCCCGAGGCTGTAACTCTTTTGCGAGTAGAGTGCCCCCATCTTTCTCCCAAAGAGCGGGTGATAGCTTCAAACTGCTGACCTGGCAGTTAGCAGCCCAACACAGCCCATTATGCCACCAGCGCTCCTATTGGCTCAAGGGTGTCTGTAACAACTCCGTGAACCCCTGCTGCCGCCGTGCTCAGCACACTGCAGAGGGGAGGCCTGGACCCAGAGAAGGGTCCCCGTGTCTCTGTGGAATTTGGAGGGGGCGGTGCAGGGATTGGGCTTGGGCACTCTTTCCCAACCTCCCCTTCCTTTTCATCTTCGTTGGTCACCTCCACCAGGCCCAGCACCCTTCGGCTTGCACTGGGCTGGGGGCAGGTGTGAGTGGAAGAGGTGGAGGCCCCTCCGAGCTCCCCCTCCCTTCCTCTTGCTCCTCAACACCCAAGGGGTTTCCCCTTGAAGCGCATTGTGCTCTTCAGGGCTGGGAGGCTGCTGGCCAGCCTTGCTGACTCAGCTCCTATTCTTCTGAGAGTAGGGCCTTCTCCAGGAGGGCGCCCTGCTCACCCTGCACGGCCCCACCCACCCCACCCCCAAAGCGCATGCTGCAAGTCCTCCTGCCAGCAGATGGGGGAGGGGCAGGAGGCCCTGGAGGATCCAACAATAAAAGCCATCGGCAGCCGCAGGTGCTTCCTGGATCTTTCTCTTTGTCTGCTTTGAATTATCTCCCCAGCAGCTGCGGCATCTCCCCACAGCCTGCACCAAGGGAAGTGGGGGGGGGGGGTTGCCTCAGGGGCTGGGAGGAACCCCGCCACTCGCCATTCGGCGGGGCAGATGGCCTGAGGAGGCAGGAGTGCCTCACTGGGACCCTGTGTGGGTGTGCAGCAGAAGGACCACTGGGGTGCTGGCTTGGGTGCCAGCCTTCCCTTTCCACCACCAGCACAGACAAAATTCTAGAGGCCATCTAACCTCGGCCCAAGGCTAGGTGCCCCCAAAAGGAAGCCCACAGGAGCCACGGGGAGAAAAGAGTACAAGGGAGCAGAGCTCAGGCACCCCAGTATGCACTGTGTCTCCCACAAACACACACATCAACACTGCAGTGCCCACCTTACAGCCGGGACCAGCATGCATGGACGCGTGCCAGGCCCTATGCCAAAGTTCCGTCCCACTCGCTTTCAGGACAGGAACACTGCCTCGCCCCCAGGCACACGGCCCGTAAGCTACAGAGCTGCAATGTGAACCCACGGATGAGTAACAAAGCAACAACGTTAATGATGGTCATTACAAAAAAAAAATGTTCCGGCTGCCGACAAACGCTTGGCATGTGTTAACCCACGGCACCCCAGTGAACTAGCTACTGAAAGAGCCCCACCGGATAGCAGGAGACTGAGGCCCAGAAGAGCAAGGTGGGCAATTTGCCTAGAGTCCCTCAACCAAGTTTACAGAACGAATGAGCCTCCGGTCAAGAGCAGCTCTCGCCTGGAGACCTACCCATCTTCTTCTAGTGTGCCCCTGCCGTGAGACTTCCCCTGACCATGACCCCTGTCCCTGCCTTTATGTCTCTACCCACATTACCGCTGTCTGGCCCTCTCTCTGCGGCAGTCTGTCTCCTGCGTCAGAGAGGGCATCCGCTGTTTCTCTCCCTGCTGATTCCCAATTCCTTGAAAGTATCCGGTCAGTGCAGGATCTGTGCTCCATAAATATAAATGGATCCATTGATGGATGGATCCATAGATGGTAAACGAAAGGAGACCAAGCTCCACCTCTGGGCACAGTGAATGGTTTGCCCATGTTCATCCCGTAGAGCCCAGGGGGCGCCCTGGCACATCTCCCTGCCAGGACAACCTTCCCCGCTGAATTGTCCTCGCCATGTGTCAACCACACACTGCAACCCACGTGCCTTGCATTCTGTTGCCCCTTTCCAGCCTGGCTGCCCGAAGCCCAGCACCTCCTCCCGAGGGAACCTCGGAGAGCCCGGCCTCGGTGACTCCAGCTGCTGCCATCCCCGTGGCGCCCTCCTCAACCCCCACCACGCTGCCTGAGGAGGAGGACCCAGCCCTGTCCCCACACCTCCTGCTCCCCGACAGTCTCAGCCAGCTGGAGGAGTTCGGGCGGCAGAAGAAGTGGCACAAGAGGCAGAACAAACAGCAGCGGCCGAGGCAGTTCAATGACCTCTGGGTTCGCATCGAGAACAGGTGAGCAGGAAGTGAGGCGGGTGGGGGCAGGGGGGTAACCCAGATCCTGTCCAGAGGGCTGAGCCTCTGAATGCAGGCCAGCTTAACTCGGACCACCCGAGGCCGGCCATACTCTTGTTATCACACACGCCTGCGGGAGGAAGCCCCTTCAGTCCCAAGCTCCTGGGAGCAAACACATTTTGGAGCTGACTTTTACCCATCCTCAGAGGAACGACAGATGCAGGGTTTGTCGGGCACCACCACATCTGGCCCCTCTCATTCTCAAGATGAGAACAGGACCATGTTCTCCATTTCCAAGCGGAGGCTATAGCAGCCTGGGCAGGTGTAGTGGGCAGAAGTCTGCTGTGCATGTAGCTTCCAGGATGCACCAGGTGTGTAAAGTGGAGGCTCATTCATCCCCAGGACAAAGCCACCGGTGCCCTGTGCCCCCGGATGGTCTGGGTGCAGACACCATGGTAAGGAGCTGGAAAGAGTAGGACAGGCCTTGGTTGACGTCAGCCACGGCCACTGTCTCTGGACTGAATGCAGATATCCGTTACACTTTGTGGAGACTGGGCAGATGCAGGACCGACGGTCTCTGTCCTCTACCCACTGCGCAACCCCTCAGCCTGTCTGCACCAAAGCTCGGGCTTTAACAAGCCTAACAAGCTCGGGTGGTTTTCTAACCTCACACCTGGCGGCCTCAGGACCTGTACTCTCAGTACCTGTAGTCTCAGTAGCTGTCAGTCTCCCCAGATCTCACTGGGCAGCAGGACTCTCCGGATGTGGTGCACAGTATTTCGAACGCACCCATAAGACCCTGGAGAGGGGCCTGTCACGGAGCCCTAGCCGTTGTAGTCTCCCATGCTCTCAGAGTGGTCCTAGACGTCCTAGAGCATCCCATGTAGACCTTAAAGATCACCTCCCAGGATTCCTCAACACCCCTTAAGAGAATCGTCTTGTTAGGAGGCATGGAGTCGCTTGTGCCCCACAGTGACCCTATGTACAATGGAAAGAAACACTGCCCGGTCCTGCATCAGCCTCACAATTGTTAGGTTTGAGCCCATAGCTGCAGCCACTGTGTCCATCCATCTCATTGAGGGTCTTCCTCTTTTCCTCTAGTGTACCAGGCATGGTGTCCTTCTCCAGGGACTGGTCTCTCCTGATCATATGTCCACAGTGAGCTGAAGTCTCACCACCATCTTTACTTCGAAGGAGTATTCTGACTGCCTTCCTTCCAATATACATTAGTTGGTTCTTCCTGCAGCCCGTAGTCTAGTCAATATTCTTTCAGCACTGCCTTTCAGAGATATCGTTCCTCTCCAGTCTTCCTTATTGACTGCCCCGTTTTCCCACGCATCTGAGCCCACTGAAAGAACCCTCGCTTGGGTCAGATGCAACTGAATCCTCCAAGTGTCCTTGACCCCAGCCCTCAGGAATCAGAATCTATAGAAGGCGGGTCTGGGAAGCTATATGTTGGACAGGCTCCTGGTGAATCTGACCCAGAGTGTGTGGGCACAACCAGCCCAGCTCTGCACTTAGAGAAGGTGAATCTGGGCCTGGAGGGGTAGGGGGCGGGGGCGGGGAGGAGAGGGGGCTGCTTCCTGTTCTTTCCACTTTGGGGTTTTTCCCTCAGCCAACATTCCGAGCCCTTCGCCACAGGGTGAACTGGGTATGGTTCACTACCTCAAAGTGAGGGAGGTTAGAGACCATCTTTGAGATTTTGGTTGGTTTCAAAGCGCCTGGCTTGGCTTTAGGGAAGCACGCTTCACCAAGTGAGTGCTCGCTGGCTGGCCCACTTGCTGCCGCTGGATTGGCAGTGATACACTTGGCACCCGCATCCAGCATGGGCTGCCCCCTTCACACCAGGAGCGAGGGCAGAGTTACAGCGGACTTCCAGGCTGCCAGGGCAACTCGGGCAGATGAAGGCGCTGGCAGCCCATAAAGAGCTCTAATTAGACCAGTCACTCAGGGCCCTGCTCAGCCCGCTGAAATGACCGGGACAATGAATGGGCCAGTGATGGATCCAGCCCATTGGGTGACAGGGGGGTAGGCTGTCCGCTCCAGCCACAGCACCCCAAGCCCTAACGATGTCTGAAAGGCAAATTTTGGCAAATGGCTCCAAACGGTTTCCTTTGCACGACCTGCAGCTCTGAGGCCCAGAGCATGGTTCCAACCGAAGAACAAGGCTTTTCTTTGGCAAGTGGGAGCCCACCCCCACCCCACCCCGTCCTACCAGGTGAATTGTGGTGGAATCATTTTCTTCCATCTGGTTGGATCAAAAAAAGAAGTTTCCACCAACAGGCAGCTGGTTTGTTTAGTTCCGTGCTGCTTCTTGGGGAATAGGCCCCGGCGCCCAGAAGCCCAGGTGTAGGCCACAGCTTCTGTGGCTCCTGGGGAGCCCCACCCCTAGACACCCTAGTGCCAAATTCGGAGAGGAAATTCAGGACCCCTCTCTCTGGTCTCTGGTCTCTCTCTGCTGAGGCCCAGGTGTGGCCTTTTAACAAAATCATCTTCCTGGAAGTTTTAACTCTGTCACGAGCATCCCCATTTCTACCGCCTGGGTCCTGTTGCCTCAACCTCACCAGACACTGTTGCCCCAAGTGGGAGATAACATCCCCTGGGGGTGCTGGAACGTTCCAGGGGCTGGAGGAGGGGATCTGCAAAAGTAGAAACCTACATTTTATCCTCGATTATGGGCTGCAGTTCAGATGTTTTAAATTGCCACAGGAGGGGGGCACTGAGTAATTTTATTTGTTTGTTTGTGTTCTGAAAAGGGGGAAGTAGGTCAAATAAGTTTCGGCACCTGTGGTCTAGCGCAGGGGTGGGAACGTACAGCCTCGGGGCGGACAAGGCCCATGAAGTCACCGATACCAGCTACATCCCACACCTCCCCAGAGAAGAGACGTTCCAGACATCACATGGCTGTTGGGTGCCAGCAAGGCCGTTCACCAGCCCGGCACCATCCTCACAGTGGTTCCTAGGCCTGAGCACAGTGTGGCAGCCACTGTGTCCCTCCGTCTCGGGGAAGGCCTTCCTCCTGCCCTAGTGGTCCAGTGCTTATGCATTGGACTGGGAACTGCGACCGGCGCCTGCAGAGAAAGCCGGGCTTCTGACCCTCGTAGAGAGCTGGACACTCACGGGGCCTTCTCCCCTGCCCTACAGGGCTGCTATGAGTCAGCATCACCTTGATGGCAGGGGGGAGTTATTCTACTTTACCACGCAGGGTGTCATTCTCCAGGGACTGGAAAGCGAATTAGATGTTGGACCGAATAGAGCGGGCTAATTTTTAAGCTGATAATTCCAAATGATCCATTATTTAAAGCACTTCTTCCCTCTCACCTTCCCCCGGTGGGCCTGCAGGCCGGACTCCAGCCCAGTACACTGCCCCTCCTTCGTGCTCACATACAGCCTTCTCAGCCTCCTCACCCGGCCCTCGGCTGCCCTGTAGTAGGGGTGTCCTCTGGCCCCTGAGCCTGTAAACAGGCTGCCCTCCCTGCTGGGGGCAGGGTGGGAATAGATGTGTGCTGGGCAAGGTGACAGGTACTTCGTCCTCTGTGCTCCCATCCTGGCGAGAACCCCGAGTGGTAAAGCCTCCTCTACATAGAGGAAATGGGATCAATGAGATTATGTAATTCATCTAAGATCGAGCATAGCCAAGTATAGAGGCAGAACCCCAATCCAGTTCTGAAGCCCAGGTGCACTGTGTTAGTCCAGGTAGACTAGAGAAACAAATTCATAGACACTCATGTGGGTAAGAAAAAGCTCTATATACAAGAACAATTGAATATTGAGAAAACATCCCAGCCCAGTCCAGCTTAGGTCCATAAGTCTGATATTTGCCCATATGTCCGATGCCAATCTATAAAGTCCTCTTCAGACTCATGACACACATGCAATGATGCCGAATGCAGGAAGATCACAGGCCAGTGGGTGGAAAGTCTTATGGATCCAGTGGCATTGGAAGCATCTCAGCTCAGCACTGGCAGGGGTCTCATGTGGCTGGCTGCTTCAGCTCAGGGTACTAGTATAGTTCCATGTGTCTTGTCAGCTGCAATGCCTCATAGGGAGTCAGCAGAAAGAGTGTGTCTCCTGCCTCTAAGGAGGAAGACAGGAGTTCCCAGAATCCTCAGGAGAAGGTGATGCCCACACAGAGGCCTCATTGGCTATGACCTGATTGACAGGCTAGACTCTAACCCTTCACTCTGAATCCTCAAGTTGACACCAGATTATGTAAGTACCACAGGCACCTACACCCCCCAGCACATGACCGCCCGCCCCGCCTCACCCGGCATCAACACGGATGCACCTGTGGAGGTCTCCCTGCTACAGCCCACCGTCACGACTCTACGGGGCTGCAAGCTCTCCTCCCGGGCAGGGAGTCTCACAGGTGGTAATTCCTCACCAGTGTCCTAGGCTGAAAGCCCTGGCC